ACTGAGCAATAAAGCTATAGTGAGCCCTTTTATTAAAATACCTTGAGCCTAGGTAATACAAAAATTAAACAAAAATTGTCATTCACTCAGTATTAGGCTACTTGATGTAATTCACAACTTACAATTACAATTAAGTAGGCCTGCAAATTAATTGTATTCAGTTGTGTTTTAGGCACTAAAACAGTCCAATACTTTATAGTCAAATCCAATTCTATATTGAAATAATGAAGATGTCTGTGCCACCCCTATGAAAATATCCTGGCTCTGCCACTGCCTGAGAGGGCAAACTGATTAATATCAGTTTATTTCTGAGCATCTCTTGCTCGGGGAAAAAAAACCCACGTGTTTGTGAATGGGCATTTGATTTACATTTGAGAGAAACTGAGAAGATTGTGAACAAGGATACAAACTAGCCACTTTTCACTGAAAATTGCCGTTGTAAATTCAAAATAGGTCATCTGTGTAATTCAAGTAGATTCAATGAGTTGAAAACTCTTGCTACTTCATACTTCAATACAAAACAATGCTGAACTTTGACAACAAATTTTTTTTTAAACGTTATAATAGTGATTTTATAATGTCTAAATATAAATCCATTAGCAAAACATGTGAAAAGAACTACTGTATATTTGAGAGTGGAAATGGTAAAGGAGACAATAAATGATCATCTGCTGCCATTTAGTGGTCATAGTGGGAATCATGACATTCATTTTAATAGTATTTCTTTTTCTACCAGGCGAAAAGAAATCTTCCACTTAGCATGGCAATTTTTCCATGAATTATCTCTTTAAGTAAAAATGAAAACAAAAATGCAGATGTCCTTAAAAATAAATTTTACTATATAAAAATGTGCAAAAATATTAATAATTTTGAGGCAAATGATATATCTATTCAAATTACCTAACTAAAAAGTGAGCAATATTACATGTATTTGAAAATAAAAATGAATAAAAAAAAAGTGTTCTACTGTCTGGGGTCTGCCATCATGAGTTAAAGGGGATGTTATGTGACACACTTTTCTTTCGTAAAACCTAAAACGTTGCTACCGTATTTTATACGGTAAAATTCCGGCAACCAACAGCTGCCGGCTTTTTACGGTAAATTTTACGGAATTTTTTTACAGTTGTCACTTGACTTGTAGAAATTTTTCTGCGTGAGTTAGTGTTAGAGGCTACTAGAATACAGGGGGGCGCCGACACTGATCTTGCATACCCCTCGGCAAATGTGCAGTTGCGCCCCTGCCTATAGGCTAAGCGCCATTCACACAGAATGCGCTTTTGTGTTGACAAAGATGCGACGCGGGCAGTGGAATAGGTAAAACATGCAAGAAGATGGGAGTGAACTTCTTTTAACTTGA